TTAATAAATATTCAGATTGGACATCAAAAATTCCCGGCTACATACATTATATCTAGTATGTAAATTGCGAAGGCTGAATTTGAGTCCACTCCTGATGAGTGATGGGCAATTTAGATTTTACTCGTTTCAGCGCAATTCAGCGTAAACAGTTGACGAGAGACCGGTTGATAAGCCATTTATTGATTGACAATCAACTTACACAGCTGTGTAACCTTTGATACACCGCAACGGACATTCGCGGATATTAAACAACTTAATAAAATCTTTTTTTTAATAAATTTTTATGACTTTTCGCGACGGATTAAATGTCAAATAACTTAACGGATGCACCACAGCGGAAGCCGTTTTTAATAAAGCCAACAGAAAAGTTGCAGCTATTAGATTTAATCATATTGCACATTTTTACATAATACATAGAGAAAATTCCGCTTATATAAACATTTCGAACTCGGCTCACGTATTTCGAAATAAAAACGTTATGAAGACACAAACACACTGTCGTGTATCGAATAAACTGCTTTATTTTTTTAATTTATGTTATTTTTTACTCCAACTCCAAATTATTCCTACTCTTCTGATCTATTTCAAAATTATGAATCAACTTGCAGCTGGCTTTGTTCCTCCTATATGGCTCGATATAATGCATCGATAACATGTCATTAGTGCTAATGATAATGCATACAATGCACTTGGTAAATGCACTTGGTAAATGAAAAAAGAAGTATAATAGTTGTTTAAAATGATAACAACGAATTTCCTTTCTTTTGCTCGCTGGCTTTGGTAGGACGGGAATAAGTCAATTTTTTCGCCGGTTCATTTGATTTGTTGTCATTCTCTGCCGCTCGCATTCAATTTAAAAAAAAATCCATTTCGCTCTATTTCCGTTATACCCGTTACTTTATACCGGAAGATGGGAAGGAACCGAAATTAAGTAGATTAGGCCACGAGATGGGCTCCTCTCTGCTACAGCGACAGCCCCGACACCCGCCGGAATAATATTAAATATCGATTTTCCAACGTATGTCGAACAAGAATTTTTTTGTCGAATTTTAATTGCTTGTAATTAGTTTATGATAGTCGCGAAAAAACCGCATCCTCGCTCGAAGGGCGAGAGTGAGCTTTACAACGTTTTTAAAAAGTAATACACATATGTATGTTTTGGGACGCGGTGCAAGTACGGAGCGCACACAAATGTCTCGTAAATTTTTAATTGAATTTCTTATTCATAAACGTCCAGTATTACGTTTCGTTCTGGCTCTATTAAAAGAGAATAAAACCTGTTTACCGTTTTTTTATTCACGAAAATACTTCGGCAAATACATTTAGTTTACTATTATGTTGATGTATGTTTATCCTCGCTCGAAAAAACGCGCAAATAAAGGTCTAAACTTCTGACACAACGCTTTACTTTATGATATGTGAATAATGAAAAAAAAAGGAACGATAATTTTTGTTTCTGTGAAACAGGTACGACAGTTTTTTCACTTTAATTATTGCCGGTTTAAGCTCTTGTTCCAGGCTGTAATCTCGTTTTCATGCTCGCTGTGGAAGTCATGGTTGTCAGTTCAGAAAAAATCTAAATTATAATACCTACAATGTTAAACGCTGCTCTTACGCTTGCACCTCTTTAGTTTTAACAACGTGAAAAAAATGTTTATTTCCAATTAATCATTTCATAAGCTACACTCCAATTCACTATATATTGTGCTACCCCTGTATTACAATTTCCAAAATACCAATTTTGCAAGCTCCGCTTTATTGTCTTTATTTTTTTGCGGATATTCTACATGTGACAGGGGTTTTTTGTTTAACATAAGCATGAGCATCCGCGATCAAACCACGGAGTGTACAATGAGTTTAGATAATATTTGCTCAATAAATTGGCTTTGAATGAACGGTTAGGCGATTGCAACGCAATTTTTTTTTCATCCGACGTTTTTCAAATTGTTTTATTTCCGAAATCTAATCGAAATGTGACCACCGGCTACGGTTTGTTTTAGGATTTCCGATACCTACCAATTTGACGGTAGGAAATTTTCATTTTCCCCTCATTCGTTTAGATAGATGTGTAACAATATATTCGGTATTAGTTTCCAATGAATTCCGTCGAATCGGCTAGATTGAGCTCGATGCTCGAGGAAATATTTTAGGTGATGAATTGACGTTTAACGCAAACTTCCTTTGTTCTGTTTTTCAATTTCGTCGAAGAATCAATAGACGAACGATTAGATGCAATAGAAATTTTTTATCAAAAAAGAATAGAGTTGGTCTTATTGAAGGAATACGCAAATACGGAGAAATTTATGGGTTCATCGTTGGTCGGTTGTTGAGAAAAATAGAAGAGATAGAGTGCAGGGAGCAATTTTTGAAGTATTCCAGGATCGGCCCTGCTTCTTATGTTATACAAGAATTTACATGTTGCTTTTGCCACGTAATTTACTGATTGGTATTTATTTAAATAAATGTCGGATGTTATTTTAATTAGAAGCAAAATGTTTTCTTGGAATCCCGAACGGGATTCTGCATTATAGGTGCTTCTAATTGATTCAGAGTGAATATGTAATTAGATCTGCTCGAATCACTGATGCGAAATGTATGTTCCAGAAATTTCAATTGCAAATATTATTTTAGCTAAGATTTCCGACTAGGTATAATGCATTCTTGTTATTGTTATGCTGTATCACCGTTTCCACCTCACTAGTAATATTATCTTCGTAAAAGCACTCGACTCATTTTTTCACTAAAATTAATCGAGTGAATTGTTATTTTATACAAATCCAAAGTTAACTAATTGCACGGGGATTTATTAGGTACAGTTAAATGAATGTAGTAATTTAAGTTAAGAGCTTAAATTTCGAATGAAAGCCTTTTGTACCAGCTCGTAATTACATTGCTCTGAATAAGTTTCTCAACAGTTAGGTGTACATACTTCGAAGCGAAATTGGAAATCACTTCACACGTGCATTTTTACATTATTATATTAATAAATTACAACCGCGTCAAATATCTTTTGTCGGGCAAATTTTCATCCCGAAAAACTAGTTAATAAATAATTACGAAAATCCCCGTAAGCCGTAACGTTGATTTTGTTGTGATAAATTTAATGGAACCCCCATGAATTTTCCTTGGTGGCTTATTTACTTCCACCATCACGACTGGCAGCCTTTCAAAGCCGACAAAAAATTAAATTATCTATAGCTTTTAATATATTATTTCGAAATAAAATAGAGTACTTCGTACAAACATTTTATTAATTTAATATAATTACGTATGTAGGTAAAAGCTATACATATATCATTATAATCTTTCAGCATCGATGAGTATTGAAATGAAAAAAAAATTGAGTGCACATACACAATATAAATGAGAATGTAGTTAATTAGAGTTTGAAACAGCGCCTAATGAATAACAGAGACATTATAAATGCATATGAGATAAATTAAATTTTACGGTAAATTGACATCACGTGACTGGTGTATGTCCATTCGAACGTATTGTGTGTGTGTGTGGAAGTTCTCAGCACGAATTCGCACGTTGAATTAATAAATCAAACCGTAGGTGTGTAGTTGTGATAGACGTGAAATGTACACCAAATACTCATAGATCACACGGTCGCGCGTTTAGCCTATTCTCTCTCCTGATGCTACCTAAAATCTGAATCTGACTTAACCTAATAAAAGTGATGTGATATACGTTGTTGCATACGTTTCGATTCTAATTCAATGACTCTCCCGCGTGCCCAATTGCTCATCCTATTATCTCGCTTTCGACTTGTAATTTGTATTTAATTTTCCTCGTATTTGAATAAAATAGATTACGAAAACGCACCAACCTCGCGCCTCGCCTCGCAAACAAAAAAAAGAAAACTTATCTATTATGGAAAACAAACAACTTAGCTTCAAAGACAAATAACTCTCGAGAACTTCCGAGCTATCCTACTCGAAAACAAAGCCTTAATAAATTCACATCTTTGACCTAAGCGCCGCTCCTATTGTCTCCTACCCCTTTGCATACGCAATAGTCTTAACCTCTTTTCGTCGTGTTAAGACTATTACGCAATATTCTCGACCAACCGACCATTATATTAGCATATTCAAAGCCATACACCAAGAAAATGCGACGGCAGCGCAACCCCTAACTACCCCTACTTTGGGCCGCATTAATCAGGGGCCGTTTTCGAGCATTCTTTATGTCTATCTGAACGAAATCGTGCTCTTACTTTAATTAAATTTCAAATTTATTTTTGTTGAACTCGCCGACGAAACACTTTCTCCTTCAATTAGGTTATCAGATCGTTATTATATTATTATTGTTTTATTTCTTCTGTTATTGATTTGTAAATTCCCGCGTTTATGCTAATAGTTCGTGGGGCATAAAAACATCATCCCGGCGTGAGGGATTAATTTCAATCAATTTGTAAGTGTCTGGAATTCGTTGTTTTGTTCGGTTTGTTTATTTCACCCGGCGAACGTTGTTAGGATTAGTATTTGTCAAGCACAGCCAGAGATGGAATTTCCTCCTGGCTCGGATTTCTTTTATTTTTATTTACATTTACCGTCGACTCATAAAATGTAGCAATTTTATTTTCGTAAGTGTTGAATAATAAAACAACGAAACCGAACGGGTGTACACTCGAACATTCGCAAAAAGTAAGTCGGGTCGCGGCAGAAATAATTTGATGATGTACGATTTTTCGCGCAATTGTAATATCCCTCGTACACCAACAAATATTATATTTCCAACTCGATGCGTGTATTAGAAACGGTCTTTGTGACAAGGGAAATGGAATCCAACGTGCGGATTCCAAGTGAATTGATTGTATTTCTGAAAACGTTACTGTCAGAGATCAAAATGATTGATTATATGCTATATTAACATATACAGTAGTGTGTCATTAACGTTAGGTATATAGCCTATTCGATATTTCATAATTAAAATTAATTAGTTTTGTTTCACCATGTAATATAAGTATCGAAGTGTTTTTTTTTAACAATATCGAAATGTTTTTAAAAGGGTGCATTTTTATTTGCATTTCCAACGAACAAAAATATCACATTACTTCGTGGTAAACATTGATGAATTAATTGTATATGAATTTCTGCACACACGCCATTCGTTTAAAAACAAAAAATATAAACCTTTTGATACGTTTAACATAAAAAGTAATTAATACCGTTGACTAAAATAGTATTTAATAATTGGTTTAACAATCGGAAAAATTGGTGGTAATAATTGCATATACATAAATCAGAAATTCTCCATCAAAAATAGTTTCTCGCGACTGAGCAAATGAAAGAAAATAGTCGAGATTCTCGGTGTCGTCGCGAATGCAAATTAGAGCGAATAGCTCATGCACTACTACACAAAAACCCAAGACAATGAGCGCTTAAAGACAGTTATACATGGGAGCAACACCATGAATTATAAACTGTTAGTAGCCCTCTTTAGCGAACTTATCTATTCATTAGATATTGCTGCGGAGTTGAAAACTGAATCGCGAGCTCCAACTCGTCTGTAATGAATTTGTTTGCGACGGCGTTATCTAGGATTTGTTGAAGGATCTACCGCATATTATTTTGTAAATTCGAGCTACTATTTGATCTGCATTCCCGAATAATCACTGGATAAAATATCACCCACATTCGACTTCTTGCAAGAGAAACATAAAGCAATCCACTTAGTTGAGTCACAAAATTATTCACATACACGGGCGCTTCTAGTGAAAATATTGTGTTACATATCTCCCCTTTTCTTTTGAGTATTCCCAATACATTTTGCCGCGAATTGCCAAAAGGGAGAAGGCTTCTCAAAAGGAAAAATGTCATTAACGAAAATGAAACATGTTAATCTTCCGGGGAAGGACCGTAGAAAGTTTCATTCGCGCAATAAATACCCACTTTTTGATGCCGCTCGCCGTCAAAGCTCAACAAAAAAATATGCTCTACTAAGTAAATTCATTAAAAAAAAATCATTACCGCAAACGCTCGTTCTGATCTACAGTTACGAGTATGCAGATTGAATAATAAACACCCATATATAGATCGGAAATATTTAATAGATCCGATTTAAAATTGCAATTCATCCGTAAACCTATGCCGTATTCGGCAAACAAATTAAGAGCCCGAACGAAACCGGACACACAAACACACACAAACAGTGAATTAATTTTTTATTAGCCGGTACACGTAGGTGATGACTGCCGCATGCAATTCCACATATTCAGCGAGAGATTAAAAAACAGTGTAGCTAAATTGGAATCGAAAGAACGTCGATAAAAATTTTTCAATCAACCGAATCGACAATTTGGTACTGCTGCGGCTTATACGGTTTTAATCTCTGCCCTGGAAATAAATAATGCCCTTTCATTCGACGGATCCGTTCCGTTTAAATTATTCGACTTTCAAATGAGGAATGTCTGATACCTATATATGTCTAAATATCTAAAGAAATTAGTTCACAATGAGACGATTTTTCCCTCTGACTGAGCAACGAAGTTCGCTTAGGAAACTACTTAAAGTACTGATGATACTGTTTCAATATAAAGTTTCATATTGTTATTATTTCTATTTTCTTTATCTAGATTCTGGAAAGCCTCTCATATTGGTTGCAATTTTTATTTCATCTCTCTAAAATTCGAGCTGTTAAGTCAATATTTCTTTCATAGCCAGTGAACACTTCGTCTCGGATATTTGCATGGTTGGAGAACGTATTGTTGCTATATTTTCCTGCTGCTTTGTTATTTATTATTTGAGAAAAATACCCATTAGATAATGGAGAGCATTTCTTTCATCAAGAAGCAACTATTGCAAATACAATTTAGTTAATTTCCCCTACCAATTTTCCACCATTTGTATACACTATCATTACACGAAGCGAATGACGGATTTCTCGAGCACCATAAAGAAATAACAGCAGTAAAATCGCGGGTAATTTCCCGGAGTAATTGTAGATAATTTTCGAGTAAATTAATTTCGTTTTAAGTGGCTCTCCTGGCGGCCAGTATTCAATTGGTTAACTGTTGATCGTCGTTCCAGCCAATCGAGAGTGTCCTAATGACCCCATAGGGCCCGCTGCACCTACTACTTGATAATGAATATCCAAATCGAGGGCTAAAAGGTCAATCGTTATGACACGCTGATAAAGGAAATCTCCGAGGAATTGATCGATTAAAATTCCCTACATTACCGCAGCGTTAAAATTTCTTTAGCTGAAGGTTTGTTTAACAAACTGAAGCTGCTCTATATTATGCAGATCTACTCGAGGTATATATTCATCTGTACCTATGGATGTAGTTTATTCGGATCCTGCGAGCACATTCAGTGCACATTTCATGTCTACCTAAACCGAATGAAATGTAAATGCAGTATGTAAAGAGATAAATTTAAATTGCCACTAGAAAATGAAAACGTATGTTTGTGAACACATTCACCATTGGAATTTAGTTTAAGGAATAAAACAAATCGGACTCGGGCGAGATTTTATCGAGGAATTGATTTGAATGTTCTTGAGGCAAGTTAAATTGATTCGAAACGGAAATCTCGCCGAAAAATGCGAAAATAATTTATTCGTAATGCAAAGTTTTTGTTTCTATATATGTATTGGAATCGAATTTAGTAGATGAACGTTATCGATGTCGAAATTAGCAGATCAATTTTTTTCATGCCACATTTGGAGTTTCGCTTTGGCGCATTAACTCCTCATTCAATTTCCATCGTTCAGGTAGCGTTTGAAAGGAACCTCGATAAGCGAAAAAAAACTGCCAAAAAATACATAAACACGCAGACATTCACCCTCCTAAATAATTTTTTTGCTTGCTTCTTTTTCGAAAACGTATGAAAATCTAATTTGTATAACGAGAGAGGGAAAGAATTCGACGTGGAAACCACAATCAACGAGGGGTTTATTATTAAATATGTAGATTATCCATTCAAATCACAACACGGAATACATATAATTTCGGAATATCGGAAGAAATTCTTCGTTATAATTTCCCGGCGAGTAAAATTCGACAAATCAAAAAATCACAAAGCCAATGAACGATTTCTTTCTTAAAAAATAAAATCGAGGTAATGATTTCCGCCCGGATTGTTTGTTTAACACTGATTCAAACGTATTTTCAATCGGGATCAACCAACCAATAATTCACACATAAGTACACTAAATTAACTGGATTATTTAGACGATAAGTCTGCCTCAATCCACTTTGTTATACAAAGGGTCCCGCGTGACAAGTTAATTTATCTAATTTCGCACGGTCAATTATAAATGATAAAGCCAATAGGCATTTATCAAGATGCTATCGATTGATCTTTCAATTTGATTACGCCAGATGAACCAAACGTCGCATAAAGGGAATCTGCTAACGCGATTATTGCATTTTTAATTACGCACTCTATGCGCCTCAATTATACATAATAGTCGACTCGAGTAAATCGAATGAAATTATTTTTTTTCTTGCTGTTTACCTTCCGCTTGTTACATTAATCTGGTTGACGGGTTTTCAAAGTTCACTAACTCCTCACATATTTATACACACGTTGCACGTACAAAGCGACCTTGGTCGAGGCGAGGCTCTAAATTTTAATGGCGTGTAAAAGAAACTCGAACGGGGTTGAAATTATACTAACGCTCGTTTGCGAAGACGATTATTCCAGCAGTTAAAAAAAAAAGAAGCGATTCTTCGAGCGGGAGTTTCGCGTGAAATCCGTATAACTAATTGATAATTCGATTCGGACGGAGTGTATTTAATTTATCAACGGTTTAAGACGGCAATTAAACAACCCTGATGGTAACTGCGTCGATCAAATCGGCCCCGTTCGTGATTATTTTGCAAAAGTGGTTACTGATACGTCCTAAATCCTCTTTCGACACTATAAAATTAAACTGTCATTGTAATCTCGCCTAGTAGGATCTTATAAATCAGTCAGATGGGTCTGGTGTAGTTCCAGCGAGAGGTGATCTATTAGAGTCGTCGGCGTGTATCTTCGGAGGATACGGTCACCTGAAAAATTGCTTTTTTGGGACGATAGATAAATTGATGGAATGCGTCCTGTACCAAAAAATAATTCGATTTTCCTTTCGTTTATGGCATTTTCTTCGCCTACTATTTTTGAAAAACCTCCGACGGGGAGCGTTTCAAAAATTGCGGTCGAAATTGCAGCGTTTTAAAAACCGCTACATAAAAGTGTTTGTTAAGTGCGCAAAATATGGCGGAGGTTCGGTTGTAATTTATCTTATGCGAATTATAATGCAAGGATCCAACGCCGTCCTGCATTTCAATAAACCGCCTCGGAGTGTCCGGCATGCGCCGGGCATGGTCTGCATTAGGCGAATATACGCCAGATTTTCTACTACGAATGCACATTCAGCTCCGAATGGATTCGTTGAATAAATATGGAGATATGATTTCAGATCGAAATAATTTTTTTTTTTTCGGAATTAAATGCTCGATATGTATTAAAAATGTATTCCGCGTCCCTGCGGGCTCCTCTGCAGGTATAACCTGTGCAATTTTAACGAGTCTTGTCGAATGGGACTAATTAAATTACAACTTCCACGTTGTGAAAAGTTTTAAAGGTAAGGATAAATTCGATTAGCCCATCATTTTGAAATTGGTTCGTCTGGTAAATCCGGAGAATTTAAATTTTTTATTATACTGCTTATAAATACATTAAGCTTCCTTAAGAGTTGGACGGGAAACTATCCTGATCTTCTTGAATGTTTGATGTATTTCGTTTTATTTCGCTGGAATGGAATTGAAACAATAGCTTGTAGGATGCAGATACTTACACGCATTCCCGGATTCTTTATATAGAATACAAGCGAGTGTCCGAGGTGTAAAGTGGAATTATATTGTTTTGATTAGTGTAATGTTTCCTCTATTCATTTAGATGGATAAGGGATAAGCCTCATTGTGCGGACTACAACTGTAGAATACAAATGTAAAACGAGTAGCATCCTATCCCTTATTCCATTCGGGTGTTCACTTAAGTCTCCTTATTCGGGATCTTTTCTATTTTGGACCGGCCAGGCCACTCGAATTTGCTTATTCTCTGTATACCCTTTTCGGCGGGAAAAAAGCGACCTAGAAAACAGGTACCTAGTTTTTCCTTTCAGAAAGTCAATTACAGCGTGATAGAGTATTTTCGGATGTATGTTTTCATTTGGGAGTGCCAATTTCAACTTATCTTTTTTCCATTCTGTTTGCTTTCGATCCGTTGAAATCAAAAATATAAGAATTTCGCTGTACAAGTAATCGAAGAAATGCGCCGACAAATAAAAAATCTATTCAATTAATTTAATATTTGTTCCAGTCCGAAGTTTTAATGAAATTAGAAATAAATTACTCTTTCGACATCGGCTTCGACGAAAATGATTTAATGAATGTGTTAATTAACGAATTTTTTTTTTCCTCATTTTCTAAAAAATATTGAAGTTGGAAACTTATAATTAAATATTTCCTTAACGATGTTAAATTGAAATTTCGTTGTGATGGTTTCTCGTCGAAATTTTTTCGTCGATGTAATTGCCCGTTTTATTTGTTACATTTATAAATTCGTTCCGACAATTACTTCCGACCGATCAATTAGCCTATTTTGATTAAAACAAAATATTAACCGATATCTAAAACAAAATATAAATTAGCCCACTATAAATTACCCGCGCAAAACCATTTCCTGTTATTATTTGCCCGCAGCGCCACGTGAATTATTGCCATTATTTAACTTATCGCTTAACAAAATCGTTCTTCTAACCATCGCCAGTCGAACAAAAAATTATTCCATCATTCACCTATCTGTCAATAAAATTAATTTTCCGACAGCATTGTTAATAAATTCGGTACGATCAATATAAATGTCTCGTTACACGAATACGATATTAGTTTTATATAATTAATTTGTTAAACACCTATCATTCATAACATAACGAATACGATGGTAACTTTTAACAATCGATCGAAAAAATATATATATTTGAAAGTATCAATTTTTAATGGGGACTTATCGCAATAGAGTTATCAAAAATAGTGTTGAAATTCGAGTGGAAATCGCCGGTTAACCGAGCCCGGCGACCGGTAGAAAACCAATATTTTCCCATTACAGTTATTTTGATGACGTGCCATCCCAATATCCACCTAGAGATTGTAACGGAAATAAAACTAACAGAGGATTAAGTTTAGGCGGTAAATGTCTTAATGCAATCGATTTCCTCGGTCAGGTTCTCATAGAAGACCTTCATTTCGCTGCCAGACACGTAACAGTATATAATTTATTGTTTTTTAGAAACGAATCTTGTAGAATTGCTCGTAAAAACTGAAGTACACCGTGGTAAATTACCCAACGAGAAACTAATTATCCCTAACCTTTTAATCTTTCAGTAATTTTGCTTATTTAACAATATTACAGCGAGAGTTATATCTCTTTGTTCAAATTTTACATACCTACCTTTTTATCAGACTCTTTTATTACTGTTTTTATACGAGCTTTTTTTAAATACTCTTTTAAAGTCTATGTGTGTTGAATTTAATGAAATACCTTCAAATCAAATCAATCTCATAGGCATTTTATAATGACTTTTCTAGTGTATTTCTAATGGGTTGTGTTTAATACAATTTATACTCATAAATAAACGGGGTCGACTTCAAATCAGAGCGTCAAGGCAAGTTTGTTGCGCATCATTTTTTTTTTCGAAAATTCGAAACGCCCTTCACGCTCTATTTTGGAAATGACCCTTTGTGTTTCAGAGTGGGAGAGGAAGGCATCTACAAAGATTCGGACTTGCAAACTCCAAACAACGACACGAAATTCTCCCTGATCGATCTGCGACCCTACACAGTCTACAGTTTCCGGATTATGGCTGTTAATGGCATGGGAGCCAGTGAACCCAGCGAACCTTCTTACTACATGGTGACCTTAAGAGAGCGTAAGTACATTGAGTTTATTTTCTATTATGCGACACTCGCGAATTTATCATTATTGACTCTCTTATTGAAGATTTTTAAAAGCACGCTTTTTTTTGTATAGTCAGTTTATATAGATGATGAAAATCAACCAGCGTATAATATTAAAAGAATTCTAGCACGCTTCTGTACAAACAAAAATTCATCTTTATTGTTCAGTTCACTTTTAAATTGAATTTCAACTAGCGATTCGAACGAATCGCATTAAATTCTACATTTAATTAAAATCCACCTATTCGCTAAATAAAGCTCTTTTTTGCCGGTGTGTTAAGCTTTGCCGGTCGATGTTAAATTTTTAAAAACAAAACCACAGTTTAAGTCAGATAAATGGTTTAGCGGAAATCCCACGGAATATTTAACGTTCCCTTTTTACGACATTTTACTAACTGATATTCATCGAAAAAATTCTAACGATGCTTTATTCGCGTGGTTGATGGAGTTCGAAAATTAATATTCTCTTGAAGCAATTCCACAAATTGAAATAGTAAAAACTATTTAAAGAAAAATTATTCGGCGCTTGTGACATCGAATGGAAATTCCAAAATGTGCATGCAGAAGTGCATTAATCAAAAAAATTCATATCAAATTAAACGAAAATCTGATTTAAAACCGGCACTGACGAGCAACAAATAATGTAAAAAGTAATTTTTAAATTGAACCGAACAGTAGTTTCCAGGTAAAAATATTCATTGGCGAACATAAATCGTTAACAACGCTTCAAATATTGATAAACGTGTCGTTGGCATGTGTAAAACCATATCCTATTTATTGTATGTACAAAATATATGGACCATAAAAATTTGCCCTCGAAACCAATATGGTCGGGTCTATAAGTTTATATGAAAATTTACTACCATCAATTATATCGAATCCAACTTCGCCTGAAGCAAACTTTGTAAATACATTCGCGAGAGAAGTATTTCAATAAATTGGCATTAAATTCCATCGTTTTAACAAAAGCATTTTTACATAGGAGAAATTAGTTCGTTTCCCAAGAAATGTAATATACGAAAAACTAACTTAACAAACTAGTAAGAACCAACAAGAAGTTAAGTATACAGAGTTCGAGTTTCTGCGCTTATTGAAACATTTATTTCCACCGTAGCACAATAAAACAGACAACTCTAAATGTAATTTATACGTTAATTTTATGCCGTCTTGATTTGTTCTCGATACTCCTCATCCATTGCGGCTGGAAAACGGTTCTATTTCGTTGCCATAAATAACCCAACAAAATTTTATATCGCCACTTCACATTTTTTAGGTACACTTAAATTTTCCATCTCGACGGCAATTTACTATACAGAATCAGCATTTGCCATCGGATCCAGCATCTTATTACACCAAATCGACTGAATATCGATTCAAATTGTTCCGCGCAAAACTGCTCCCATTTTGAGGGAGTCGGTACAGTTACTTTCTGATTTGAGATATTTATACTGCACGATGATTGTACATTCGAAATAACTAGGTACACTTAAATATTATACGTCGAGTGCAATTTGCGAAATAATTCGAAATCTCCATTCCCCGCCGCAGGAATGACATCAAACATTTCGTTATTAAATCGACTGAATATCAAGCTTCACAAAACGGCTTTAACTGTAACAGAGCCGATGCAATTTATGTGCGCGGGATTGTTATTTCGCGATATTTTTTTATTTTTTCATCGTGGATGAAACTGATGCGATATCAAATGCACTTACATCCGGCATAACTAGGCACACTCAAATTATCTCTCTAAGGGGCAATTTAGGAATACTCCAGAACCTGCATTTATACCTACCATCGATGTAACGAGACCCGGCGTATTATTAAATCGGCATAACGTCGACTTGAAAAGTTCCTGCACAAAACGAGCTATTAACACTAATATACGAATTATATCCTGATATTCGAAAAATTCATCCGTCTACCTATTGAATTTTCTTAACAATGACATTTTCTACAAGTTTCTTCCCCGCCCTCTCGGAATGTTCTATTTTATTTCCACCTGAAAACAGAATCCGGTGAGCGATGTTGAACGTTGAGTGGAGACATGGTGAATATTCAAAAATGGATGACAGCTTGACTTAAAATATTATTTCGATCCAAAATTTCCATTAATTTCGTTCGAGATAAGAGATAAAGCGCCGGTGGACGTTTAAAATTCTTTTCTTGAATATGAAATGGTTTATTAAAATACGAAGAAAAAAAAATCAATAGCAGGAAATTATCATTTCCGGTTGAATGGCGTAATCTCGGGGCGAAGGAGAAAGGGTCAGGAGCTGGAAAGTCATTATTTTCTTCCAGGACGCGATCTTTTATGCAAGCAGCGATGTCAATTAGCCAATAGAATAAATTCGAGGAACGTCAATCAATCGGGCCGGCGAATAAAAATTTTTTTGCGCTGTAAAACTATTAAAAATGCGCGCCCGAAAACGGAATTGATGGTGTAGTATATATGCGAATATAAAAAAAAAAAGGAGCGCCCGAAACATCAGCCATGATGAAGTGACCCCAGGGACAATCGCGACGGGATTCGAAAATGTTATTCTTTAGGAAGTTTTGCGCAATTTGACAAACTCCTATAAAACTTTAAATATAACGTTTATGATTCGAAGGCCAATTTTAGATAAGTGTCCAACGAAACGTAAAAATCTTCGAGGAAACTTTCGAAAGAAACTTCCTACATCGTTATTCTTTGTATTACGATCGAGCCGGCTAAAGATCTCTATTACTAAGGTACCTAAAACTCCCGTTTGATAGCGTTACGCTTCAAATTCGGTTATGATAAAAAAAAAATGAGGACTGGTATTAATGAACAATTTTTTATGCAAATTGTACCTAACTTTGCCGCGACACGATCGCTCGAAATCCCGCTGCATCCGCTTCGTTTTTACATGAGACATGACTCATATTACGATCCCCCCAAGAAATAGAAAAGCGCTTCAAATTGCGTTATAAACCAGACTTAGTTTTTCATTTGGATTAAACTCAGCCGATTACTGTAAATCCTTATAGGAGACTCTCTGTACCATTCGCCAGTGGCGCGGATTAATCACATAATCGTATATGAAATTAATTATTTTACAAAAATTACAACTTTTACTAAAGGTTAATTGCTTCCTCGGGAAGATTAATTGATTGTTCGGGTGAACAAGTCGCTCTCTTTAGACAGATAATTGAGTCTTTCATTGGTACTTTAAAATGACTCTTGGGGAGATAATTGACTCTCTTCTATATAGATAAATATCTCTTGAATAAGGATGTAGATGTAGATGATTTCTTCTGTATAGAAGGTGACACTGTCGATTAATTAAGGGTAGTTAAACGCCTCCCTTTACGCTCGATATCGAGCTGACGATTCCGCATTGAACGATCTCCATTCCATCATCGTAAAAACCGGGTTCGATGGAAAATAAATAGATTTAATCGGGATATATATCCGCCACTGAGAGTCGCTTTCTGTGTCACTGTCGCGTTGCTCGTCGAGTGACCATTACGTCTGTAACAATTTCTCATTGTTTTTTGCTGTAATGGACCTAGCATGGGGACGGCCGAAACCCCGTCAGCGGTAAATGCACGAAAACTTTATGTTTTTCCGAATAGCGATCTTGATTGCGCGCGGCCAGTTGGACGGAAAACGTCTTAGGTTGCATGGAAGATGGAGAAAACACTGGCGCTCGTTTTGCTTATAAATTTCCATCCGGAAAAAAGGACGCTGTCGAGTAATTCTGTGTAAATGCCGGGAGCCATATCTCGATGGGACGCGGCCTAATAAAACTCCTGACTTATCCGTGTTTACAGGTAGAAGCAGATGGAAATACGGTATATTGATGGCTATCGGTAGACTTTCCATCAGCTTGATTAAACGATGTTTATAGCGGCATTTGAGACTTTTACAACTCGATATCCAATTGAATTAACTCGAGATTTACACGGAACTTGTGGAATTAGTTTCACGCGTTAGATAATTTGTAAAAGACAACGAGATTAATTCCACGGGACATTCGGAGATTTTTAATGTAAGATCATGTGGACGGTTTGAATTTCTCGAAATGGTATATTATTTTCCGAAATTAATTCGAGTTTAAAGCGATTACAGTTGGCTTATGAATTGAATTCAGTTAGAAAACTAAATTAACTTTTTGACAGTTTCGGAAAGGAAAATCTATTCGGAAAATGAAAAGAGGCTAAGAATGAAATATGGACGCCTAAATTGCATTGGTGAATGCTGCTGCGTTCTGATTAATCGTCGAGCTGTCCTATAATGGAATACAAGACCGGTTTGCTAATAAAAGTCTTCGGTATTTCCATAGAAAAAAAATTCCTAATTTCTATTTAGAACCGTTTCGAGTAAATATTTCGAAAACGGTCGTTTGGATTACGCTTCCGCGGCGGCACATTTGCGAGAAAAACTCGTAAAATATTTATCTTTATCTTATAAATAATTGGTGGAATCGGAGGAATGCTCGAAATCCGGTCCTAAGTAAACTACTCCGCGTCCTCGCGGAAGATTTACAGCAACGCCGCCGAAATATGAAAAGAAATATATGTCTTCGAAAATATACGGACCGTGATGTATAATACGCTCGGAATTAAGGTCAAATTCTGATATTTTCCGAACAAAAGATATTTAAAAGTTTCTTCTATTCGCCCAAATTGTCTGTGCTCAATAAAAAACGAATTAGAAGTATTTTTAGATGCTGATATAGAAGACCCCAAGTTATTTGATGAGGGATTTTTTATCTTCGGCTCATTATTATTTAGAAACGTCGTAAAATTTGACGTGGTATAAATATCGTACGTGAATGAGATACGGGGGAAATTTCGGCATAAAAATTGAAAATGCGTTGTCAATCCATTTTAAAAACAGGCCCACGGTGGCATCTTCTTTGTGGATAGATAAGGTTTCGGTGTGTATTTTTCGTTGCTTTAGGTCTGAATTTCAATATTATGAATGATCTGAGAGCCATAACGA